TCCCGGGGGAGGAGGCTGCGTGCCAACACTAAAAATAGCCAATTAACCCTTTGCACACTTATATGCCAATCCTACATACTGTATTTCTAGCAAACTATCCCCTAAAATATGGGATTCTTCATGCAGATATATTGCAATACATGTTCAAGCTGGCCAACTGCATCAAAGTGATCCCTCTCTGGCCAACTAACCACAAGTGATCCCCCTCTGCTCTAACTGCAACAAACTGATCCCTCTCTGGCCAACTGCAACAAAGTGATCTCTCTCTGGCTAACTGTGTCAGAGTGTTCCATCTCTAGCCAACTGCAACAAAGTGATCCCTCTCTAGCCAACTGCAACACAAGGATCCTTCTCTGGCAAACTGCGTCAAACTGATCTCTCTCTCTCTGGCCAACTGCTTCAAAGTGATCCCTCTCTGGCTAGCCCGTACTCTACTGTATCAGGTCACACGCTCCCCCCATTCTTGGAAGCACTGTTTGGTTTTGTTGAGTGTGATGGAGGATGGATCAGCAGGGGGATACATGTAAGGTGAAAATAGGGTGGGGGAGCCCTTCACAGAGACCCGACCCTCTTACTTTGCCCTGCATGGAGAAGGTGACAGGTTCTCTTTGGTCATCTGCTTGTTGGGATAAATCATTGTGTTTTGGTGCTCCAGTTATAAAATTTGTCTTTAGTAAATGTTGGAAAATAAAAACCAGACGAGGAATTCAGAGACACAACACAGAGACGACTTACACTCAGCTCATGCAATCTGTAGGTTTCCTGGTGTCCGGACGGGAGAGCCGCGGTCAGGTGTGGTATATATATACAACCCGGGTGTATATATGATGGATGTTACCTGGAGCAGACGGAGTCTTCACTCATAATTGGTCCCTCCGCAGCCGCTCCGCTAATGACCTCCTCCCCCGAGAATTCACACGATGAGCTGACTGTCATTATAATACAATTAGAGTTTTATTAATTTCTTCCGGATCAATCAAACCTGTGCGAGGATCTTATCGGCTTCCCGGGATATGCTCTGCGATCAGCGGTGTATTTAACTTTGGTGCTGCCCTAGGCAAGGCAGCAACGCCGCCCCCCCCCGGACTGACCCGCCGCTTCTCGGACAGCCGCTCCCCCGGCCTTACAGACTCACCGCAAAACAACGCCGCCCACCGTCTGCACACGCCGTCCACTCCAGGCCGACGTCCGCGTCATCGCATCCAGGTCAGTAACCCTCGCGGTGCCGCCCTCAACGACTTGTTTGCCTCGCGGCAGATACGCCCCTGTCTGCGATACACAGTCATAAGAAACGAGTCTCTGCTCGGATTCCGGGAGACGGGTCATTCAGAACAGAAGAATACAATGTTCTGCCTCTGTAAGTACACACTGGATTTACTATCCTATCGGATGTTTCCTTTCCAGGTACAGAGGCACAAATTCTATTTTTACAGAACACTGATGCGGCGGGGGGAACTTTATTTGTAACTCAACAGGAAAAAGAATCTTGTAATTATGACTTATTGCTGAGATGAAGACTCACAATGTATTCAGCTTCTCAAAGTAGTAAGCATGCCCTTTCCTCCCTATTCTGCTGGTCTCCTGTTTCATGGTGGCTCCTTCCTTTTGAAGAGTCCTATGGAGCCACCCTGAGCGCTCTCCCTGCATTAGACTAGATGGGGGCATGCTGACACTGCCTGTGCCGACGTGCACAGCCAGCCCAAGAGGGAAACACACAGAGAGGAAAC